AACAAGAGTGCAGAGGTCTTATTGCAACTATATCTTGCGCTAGTCAGGCCGCACCTCGATTATGCGGTTCAGTTCTGGTGCCCCTATTATAGAATGGATATAAATTCACTAGAGTCGGTGCAGCGAAGAATGACAAAAATGATTCCGGGACTTAGAAACCTTCCATATCAGGATAGGTTAAAGAAACTTAACTTGCATTCCCTAGAAAGACGAAGAGTGCGGGGAGATATGATAGAAGTATTTAAGTGGGTGAAAGGAATCAATAAAGGAGATATAGATAAAGTTCTTATAATATCCGAGCAGGATAGGACTCGGAGCAACGGATTCAAGTTGGATAAGTTTAGGTTTAGGAGGGAGATAGGAAGAAACTGGTTCACAAATAGGGTGGTGGACGAGTGGAACAAGCTTAGCAACTTTGTAGTAAGTGCGGGAACTCTGGAAAGTTTCAAAAGGAGGCTAGATAGATTCATGGATGATAGAGAGTGGTAGTAACTCTCGACAGGAGCTGCCATGCACAGGCCAACCGGCCTATTGCAGACTCCTTATTTTCTTATGTTCTTATGCTCACCGAGAAGAAAACGAGTCCACTATAACACTATTAGCATTAGAATGGATAAACTATTTATCTTACGACCAAAAAGCTAATATCCTAAACTAAGACAGAACAGAAAAATATGAGTGTGGTTTTGTCCTACCCATTTCTCACAAACAAATCAAAGCTGGCTGGCAGGGTGAGGTGCCTCCGTTTGACGTTACGCCTGTTCCCATATCTGAGTGTGAAGCCTACCTTGATTTTAATAAAAATCCCGAATACTGTACTCGTACTGTGTTTGGGTGGACAGTACTATGGTATGGTACTGTCCATACTGTAATTAATATATTTTGAATCAATTTATCTAATCAATGAATTAGGTAGAAATACCATAGATAACTACTGTATGTTTGAACAAGGATTTGTATCGTTTCAGTTACGAGTACAACTGGGAAATCTAGCGTTCCTGCAAAAAGACGAAGACTGAAGAAACCTGCACGATATATTTTACGTAGCAGCGATTATAAGGTATGTACACTGTACAGTGATTGCGATGGTAATGATAAAATTTAAATAATTATTTGTAAGGTAATTTTACTTACATATTTTACGTGTCATTGTTATATAATGGAGTAGTTTCTTCTGTAAAAATTATACTCATAACGGTTTATATATATATATATATATATATATATATATATATATATATATATATATATATATATATATATATATATATATACTCTGTGTGGATACTACCAATATCTTTTTAAATGGAGTAAAATATTATTATAGGTAATACGAAAGTGAAAAGCATGTTTAAACCAATGTTAAACAAAACACAAATACTTGTTATCACCAAGAAAAAGAAAGTAATGGGAGTAGTGATCTTAGCCTAAAGTGCGGGGTGAGTGAAGCATCAGCATACACATACACACCACAAACAACACACACACAAGGCAACAGGAAGGGAGTGTTGCTGAAACAAATCCTGATCTAAATAAACAGGAACCTGACTAACGTTACCACACAGGTGGGTGAAATTACCAGCAGTTGTAATTTATAATAAACCTTATACTTGTCGGTTAATAATTATACCAATTATACTACTAATGTCACAACCAAGTAATGATAGTAGTTACTGAAAGGAGTGTAAATGTTGTCTATTCTTCCGTTGAGTAAGAGAGGAAGTTGTGCATGACGGTGGTGGCCTAGATCAACAAGGCCAGCTCCACCTCCCCACTCACTATTGTATGAAGCCCCGTCCACGCTAACTTCGTGTTATCATATCTAGCATAATTTGGTGCCTGGCATAAATTCTAACGTAGTGAATCTTTTAGCATAATCCTAACATTATCCTGCCGTCTGGAATAAATATAGAATATTTCTTATCTGCAGACCCAAAACTCTAAATTTCACTGTTCCACTGTAAGGCTCAAAAGCAACACTGACAAATGAATTAATAAGAGGAGAGGGCATAAGACACAGTGGGGAGTGAAAAGTATGAGCCAACAGAAGCCACGATAAAATCAATGAATAAAGACATGTACCCTCACACGCAGTGGTGCCACAGTTCCATGGACGTACAGTACAGTACAGTATATCGAGGATTAAAAACTGTATTATAGTCCTTCCATTATATGACGTCACAATTCCGTACATTTTTTTCTGGTGATCGTATGTAAAAAAAATATATGGTATAGGCACAATTAATTTTATTTTAGTTAGTTATTCTGCTTATAAGATACATATACAATAAGTTTCAAATTATAATGTATATCTTTCTGCACTTCGCTAAGTATTTTATGAATTTTACTGAATTTCTCAGGAAACAATCGTTTAACAGCCAACAGCTGTGTTTATATACACTTTCATTGTCACACAGAAATTCATAATGCACATTAGTTTACAAAATAAAATTAATAAAAATCTATAATAAAATAATTTTGTAAGTATTTATTAAGTGTTTGATGTAAAAATTGGCGAATTTAGAAGATTCTCAATTATTCCAGATAAGCAAAAAAGTGAGGTAAAATTCTAATGCGTCGCCCAAAGTTCATTTGTTTTCCTTACTAGCAGACGAAATTCCGTAAAACGGCAGCACTGCCCCCATGACGCTCGTGGTGTTGCACTGGCCTATGTAATTAATCCCAGATGTTGTAACTGTGGCGGCCGGCACAATGCTGACTCACGGCAATGCCCCAATCGCCCGTCTGTCCCAGGGGAAAAGCCTCCCCGAAGGCCAAGTCTACCACAACGCCCCCCCCAGTCTTCCGGGCCACACCCCCCTGTGTACCCTGTGTCTCCAGCAACGCCTTCTTCAACAACACCTGCCTCTGCCTGGCCTCTCCTGGCTACAACACAGCAGTCCCGGCCGTCTCCTAACTCAACTACTACTGGGCCTCCTCCCCGTCTCTACTCTGAGGCTGTCAGGCCTTGTGCTCCCACCGGTGCCCCCAACAACCCCCCGCCAGTGACATGACACAGATCATATCCCTCTTCCAAGAATTTACCAACCGTATTGAACAACTCTTCGCTACACTCTGTACCACCATCTCCGACCTACTCTTGCCTTCTGTTGCCACCCAGTCACTCCTCTCTTCTGGTTTGACACAAGCTGGTAGTCCCCCTGTGAGCCCCCACTGCTCACGGCCTACTCCACCGCCGGCGGCCTTCACTACTGGTGTAGTGCCTACCGGGCCTGCCCTGATGTGTCCTGCTGCCCCCGAGCGAAGTCCTGCCTCATCTTCACGACACTTGGTGCCTCAACCCGCTCCTGTGTCTGAGCTGTCTCCATCAGGGCTACCTGGACCTGAGGACACCACCCCCTGCTACCTGTACCCCACCGACATGTCGACCCACACACCATCACAATTACACTAAAAGGTGTGCCCCTCAATGTTGTCAATGCCTATGGGCCTCCCTCCACCCCTACTGTACCTGCCCCACCACACCATATCACCTCCACCACCCCCACTGTACATTGGCATCCCTGAGCCTGGCCGCACTGTTTGTAAACTTTGTGGTCAAAGAGACTCTCACCCTCTTTCACCACATCCTCATTTGCCCTATGACCTCCTCCTACAGGTCCCCAGCCGTTACCAACACCTCTTCCCTCCCTGACCAGATATCCTTCCTCCTAGTGACAGGCCTGGCACTAGGGACCTGCCACACTTTGCCATAAACAGAGAAATTGTACCGGGAATTTCCCCCCCACACACTCATCATTCTGTCACTTTATGTAACTTGCTGACAAAACCCATGACCCTTCAGGCTTTTACGCCCTTAATGCATGAGTCATAAAGGCAAGCATGAACTCCGAATGCTTCCCAGTTGGGCACTATAAACTGAGGTTTTCACAATGATTAATAACTCGAGAATAAAGCCCCCAAGGTAGGTAGATACCAGGTAGCCTCACTCCCATAGGCTCTACGCTAATGAAAATAAAATTGAAATTTTTATTTACGTATTTTTAAAGGCTTATGATGGTATTAAAAGTTGTACAATAAATGTATGGAATGGAGATTTTTTGTTTTATTTTAATTGGAGCCACAGATTAATTATATAAAATAAATATAAATATCTTTCTTGTGACGCTTGCGACCGCTGGATTCAATCCAACGTCGCTGATTGGCTAGCGATGACATCACTTATTAAGCTCCGCCCACTTCGTTACATCAAACAGTAGAAGCGGGACATTTACAGGTGACAGTGGGGGTGTTATTCTTTATAACAATGATTTATTGGGCAAAGTGGCTAGATGCCTGTAAAAGAAAAGATATAAAAAACACCAAACAAGTGAAGGCGTGGCATACGATATGTTCAGTGCATTTTAAATCTGAATGTTTTAATTACCATTTAGCAGTAGACAATGTAAAGCTTTCTTTAAACCCGCACTAACGTCCAACAATAACTCTACCGGGATTAGGAGGTCAAATCAAGAATGCTACAACGTACGAAGATCATATATTGTAAGTACATTAAATGTGCACACGTTTTCTTTCCTGTTTTATATATAATGTATTATGCATTTTCAATTATCAAAATATACAGTACCGGTATTGTAAAAATCTACAACAATTATATATTTCATGGGAAAAAATTATCTACACCAATATATTTTGCTTCAGAAAACTGCTGGGAATAGACAGAATGCCAGAATAAAATTAAAATGGGAGGAAATGTAGTGAATATTTTACAATTCGACCCAAGTTCTCGTTTTATTGTAAATTTCGTCAAACATTTTGTTATTGTATAATTTACATGGCAATATACACTGTATATTACACATTATTAAATATATATCTGATTAATAACATTTTATGCTAGTATATTTTGACTAGAGAAAGGATCTATACAGATAATACCACAATATTACAAACACATGAAGTGGCAAAAGGGGCGTGGCTTAGCGATCTCGAGAGTAGAGTTGCCAATTAGTGATTTCCTATGGGCCTGCGTGAGGCTACCTACCTTGAGAGCCCCGTCCACACTACCGGACAGTGACCGTCGGGCACGAGTGATGAGTCCGTCATCGCACACTTTGTGGCAACTTTGACGGGCAAACCAGCGGACAGCCCGTGCCCGTAGTTGAGCGAAATCAGCAGACTGCCCGGTGGTTTGGCGCCAGGCATAGACCGACGACGCTGTCAGTCTCTCACGGTCTCACCACGCACCACGAGCCACAGCTGGTGGTTGTTCGGTTTACCTCGTCATCATGTCTAGCCCTCCGTCCACGTACACCACAGAACCTGCAAACCTCCACTGGTCCAGGCAAGATACTGTACGGTTAATAGACCTTTATCGCCATTACCCGTGCCTATGGAATGTCAAAAGTGACATGTACAAAGATAGAGACAAACGTGCAGCAGCACTCAAGGGAATTGCAGAGGAGATAATGAAGATTACTGCCTCCATTACCACAAGGGATATAAAGCGGAAAATAGAGACACTACGAAATCAATATAGACGTGAAATGAGACTGGTACATAAATCACAGAAGTTAGGAGCTGGGACAGACGAAATTTACAGGCCAAAATTATGGTGCTTTAATGACCTGTCATTTCTGAATGATAGTGACACAATCAGAGCATCTGTGTCAAACATGGATGCCGGTACCAATCACACTACTGAAGATGTGGCTACGGAGGTATGTTCTGATCATGAGGTACGTAAGCATTCTCTCTCTCTCATTGAATCCAGGAAAAAAAGTCACATAAAAAGGCCCTGAAAAAACTTAACCTAACCTACGTGCATTGCCATATATATATATATATATATATATATATATATATATATATATATATATATATATATATATATATATATATATATATATATATATATGTCTCGTGTTGTCAATGTGTACACAAAGAAATACATCATATTCATTAACAGTATATATAGGTCAGATTCATGTGGGTGATGTCACTGTTCACTGCCATGCAGAACAGCTGTTCGAGCGAATGTGGAGCGTGAGTTGGCTCAATGTGATGTCTGATTTCATGTTCGGAGTCGCGAGTCGCGCAGTGATAATAGCGTCATGAGCGAGTCTGCACTAGATAGAAAATTCTTGGAAGAATTTATTGAACTTTATAAAGAAAATCCATGCTTATGGAAAATTAAGAGTAAAGAATACATCGACAGATACAAAGTCAGCTGCGTATGACATTTTGATAGAAAATTAAAAAAAAAATTAAAGGAAAAAGACGCGACAGCAACCAGACAGTCACCAAAAAACTCAATAATATTATAAGTGCTTTTCGCAAAAAATGAAAAAAGTAATTGCTTTAACAAAATCTGGAGCCGGAGTAGATGATATTTACCAACCCAATTTTTGGTATTTCAAACTGCTATTTTTGCAAGACCAAGAAGCACCCCGACAAACCGTTTCCATTGTCAATGAGGTGAATTTGACCCAAATACATTACAATTGACAAAGAAATGATGATTGAGAAAATAATTTTTCGACACCTTTACCAGGACCCGTAGCCTAGGAAAAAGTGATTGAGGGGCAATTATTACCCCCCCCTCGAAATCCTGGGGTTACCAAATGTACTATTTCCATACAGTCTAGTAATAACTATGAGGCTTACATATATATATATATATATATATATATATATATATATATATATATATATATATATATATATATATATATATATATATATATACACACACACACACACACTTCATTTTTAGTCCATATAACATGCGGACTTTGAACATATAAGCAACAACCTCACCAGTCTTCAGTGCCCTTGTGGCATGTTTGGTAACGTTCCCTGGTCCCAAACAGTAGGTCGAGGGTTCGAGTCCTGGCTGGTGAGGTGACATGCATTAGGCTTTGTTTATTGCCTAATTTGTTGACCAGTTTGTTAAAGAATCAATACTGTACTTAGCCCTTAATAACTTTTTTACTGTTTTACAGGAAGCGGAGAGTTCCTCAGATGTGAACTCGAATCCAGGTACTACCTTAGACGCCGACGACCCAGTGGCCCAACCCTCTTCTTTTACTTGTTCGTCAGCTGCTAGACCCATAGGAGGACCCAAGAAAAGAAAACGTCAAGATGCTTGTGATAATATTTTGTCTTTGATTGGGGAACGGCTTCAATCCTCACGCCAAGACGAGTTTGACATTATAGGGAAGAACGTTAATAACAAGTTGCGAAGGCTGTCTCGAGAGCAACAACTTTTTGCAGAAAGGTTGATAAATGATGTGCTTTTCGAGGGAGGACTGGCCAACCTGAACAGAAATAGCAAGATTGCAATTTAACTAATCATGACTGAAGACAGAATTAAATTTATTATTCTGTACTTCTCATGCCCTTATAAGAACATAAGAATGGAGGAAACTGCAGCGGGCCTATTGACCCATATTGGGCAGTCCCGTTTATACCCAACCCCTATTGTCATATAAGCATCCAACCTATGTTTGAAGCTATCCAGCGTATTCCAGTTAATAATGATATTTGGTAACTTGTTCCATTCATCCACTACTCTGTTTCCAAAACAGTGTTTACCTATTTCGCGCCTAAATTTAAATTTGTCTAATTTAAAACCATTGTTACGAGTTCGCTCCTGGTTGGATAGTCTGAGTACCTTTGTAATGTCCCCTTTGTTTAGCCCTGACTTCCATTTATACACCTCTATCTTGTCCCCTCTCGCTCTACGTCTCTCATGGCAGTGCAAATTAAGATGATGTATGTATGTGTGTATGTATGTATGTACAATTAATTTGAATAAAGCATGAGTGAAGTGATGAAATATGTAAATTGTACTGTATAATTATGAATACCTGAGAATATATATTTATAACTTGAGGAAATGTTATTAATTATGAAGGAGAAAATGTTTTATACTTATGAATACCAGAGAAAATTTTATTAATGTATAAATATGAAAAATTCTGTTTTGTAATTATGAATTCCTGAGAAAATAATTGTCATGCTAAGTTCACCTGGTTTTGGAACGCATAAACCAAGACGTTTAGGTCACAAGAGGCTAAGTTTTACTTCCCCATCTCTCTGTCTCAGTACTCATGTTACTGTCGCAGTGTAACATTTTATCGCTGTTCTCTAAATAATTTTTGTTTTATCTTAGGTTTAGCAGGTAGGAGCATTTTTTCTTTGTTGTCAAATATGAGGACTGTTCATCCTACGAACCTCAAGAGAAGTTATTTATTAAGAACGTAAGAACATAAGAATGGAGGAAACTGCAGCGGGCCTATTGACCCATACTGGGCAGTCCCGTTTATACCCAACCCCTATTGCTCATATAAGCATCCAACCTTTGTTTGAAGCTATCCAGCGTATTCGAGTTAATGATGATATTTGGTAACTTGTTCCATTCATCCACTACTCTGTTTCCAAACCAGTGTTTACCTATTTCACGCCTAAATCTAAATTTGTTAATTCAGATGAATGATGAAGGTTGGGTGTAAACAAGGAGCAGCACTTGAAATACCGAGAATTTAACGAGTGTGTTGAACTTCCACGAGAAAAAGATGGAAATAATCATCGTTAAGATAAGTTGAGTGAGGTAGGTGGAAGGGCTGTTATGGTGAGCGCTCGTCCGGTTTAGACAACAATGAAAGAAAAATCCCAAACAAATGTGTTGCTTATGGCATGTGGATGGAGTTTTATAGCGATATTCGTAATATTTATGCAGCTACAGTATGTATGCCCCATCTGCCCACGTCGCCTTATGTAAACATATGATTAATCTTGGTAAAATATTTATCCCCCAAAATAGGGAATAAATAGCACAAAAAAGACTTTAGAAATCGAATTCGGGCAACAGGCAACTCTGTTCCTCTCTGGCGAGTGTAGGGAGGCAGACATGGGGAGGTCTGTACTCGGCTGCTCACCACTTCTTCCTGCTAAACCAGGCTTCTCTCGAATATCAGGATGCCACGTAATTCAAAACGTAAAAGACATATCAAGAAAACGGTTGTCATGGCCATTGCTAAATCCAAGAGGCGTAAAACAGAAAAAGAAGAAATTATCACTAAGACTGACGACGGTAGTACGCAGCCAGCTGTTCCAGGGGACATGGAGGCAGCCCAGCCCTCCCCTCTACCTCACGTACATCAACACTCCCTCCTACCTCTCGCACGCCACCTCCCTCAGGTGAACCCGACCAGCAAGGCACATCACGTTTATCTCCGAAAAAAATTGATAGAAGCTGAAGTGAAAATGAGTATGTCCTCATCAGCAAGAGAAGATTGAAAGATCTCACTGCCTCCCGATGCCTCTGCCAGGGTGAAAACTTTGTTCTTGAGTTTCAAGAAGATGGATTTGAGAACATCATCACACTACACTGTGAACTGTGTGGCCTGGAGAAGAAATCCAAGCCTTCAGAAGCCCAAGGTCATACAAAGAATGTACCCTTCTTCAAGACTAATGTTGGGCTCATTCACCTGTCAATCACTGAACATATTGGCCTTACTGGAATGAGAAGACTTCTGGGTGTATTTGGCATGCCAAATATGAGTAAATACAAGTATTACCGATATCTACATGTAAACGACATCTCCAATGCCATGAACACACACTGTACAACCAAACAAGAAAAAGTTCGTCAGGTAATCAGGAAATACTATGGAGAACATGCCACAATTGTTCCTGATGAAGATGGGGTACTCAACATCGATGTATCATATGATGACTCGTGGATCAAGCGAGGTCACACATCCAAAGTTGGCATGGCCGGTTGTCATCGAAGTATGCTCAGGCTTTGTTGATTTTGAAGTCATGGGCAAGGACTGTGCGGCTTGTACACTCAAGGAAGGACAACTCCAAAGAAAGAAGATAATCGGCTCAAGACTTTAGGATGTGGAAGACCGATAACATGAAGGTAAATGCACCAAGAACTATAAAGGCACATCTGGGGGACATGGAAGCAGAAGGAGCAAAGAGAATGTTTGGAAGATCTCAAGACCTGAAATTCAGATACGAAAATTTTGTAGGAGATGGCGACTCCGGTGCTTACAATGCAGTAATTACCATGGGCAATGGCAATGGCCCATACCAGAGCGTGCAAGTGAAGAAGCTTGAATGTATCAACCACGTTCAGAAGCGGATGGGAACAAGACTGAGGAAGCTGCGGGATGAAGAGATGGAGATAAGAACAAAGACAGGTGTCCAAAACAAGCTGTCTGACAAGGCCATTGACACTTTAACAAGCTACTATGGAAATGCAGTAAGATCAAGTGCTGGAAAAAGTTTTAGACATGAAGATGACAGTAATGAGCGCCTTCCACCCAGCACTGACGGTCACTGCCAACATGGACTTTCCTCTGAGGGATCTGACTCCTGTTGTTGTTTTTTCCAGAGAGGATTAGCAGAAGGAAAGGGGGAGGAAGGCGTCTCACACAAAGGGAGTTCTCTTGTTATAAATGTTTCCAAAGAGACACACAATAAGATAAAGAGAAGTCTGCAAAGAATTATCATCAAGGGATATCTTGGAGAGATGCCTTCGATTGTTGACACAAAATACAAATTAAAATTTTCATGCCAAGATGTGGACACATGCACTCAAAACCAAGTTTGTTGGGCTTCATCGTGCCCAGTTTGTTGCAAAGACTGTAATCTTGGACCACAATTATGGCTACCAGGATGCATCGCTTCTGAAAGCAATGAAAAAAGACTCATTGGCCCTTGAAAAATCACTGAAAGACCAAGACGTCATTCGTCAGAGGCACGCAACACTGAGGGCAAGGCCTAAAAGAAAGACTATGATGAAAAGCACACCAGGCTATGCACGAGGAGCCTACTGATGAAACCTGACGACAAAGAGAAGTGTGGACACCTCTGAAACCCTCTCAACTGAGATAATACCCTACCCCAACGAGGTAAGGGGGGGGACCGGGAGCCTGAAGAATAAGGAATATGACTGGAGTTCAGTTGATGTAAAAATAAAAAATAAAAAAAAACATGATATTACATGTGAACACGGCTCAGAATGAACATTATGTGGTGGTGGTTGTGTGCAGCAGTGGTGGTCCGGTAGTTACGGGCAGCCTCAACCACCACAGGTGATGGGTGTTGTGTGAGCACAACGTCGATGCTCCGTGACAAGGCATCGACAGGGCCATTATCCTGATAGCTAATATGCCTTAAATCTGATGTGAACTCTGCAATGTACGACAGTTGTCTGACGACTCGTGGAGAGTCTCCGAGAAAGGTTGAGAAACTTTATCAGCCTGCATCTCATCTTGAACTTTTTCAACACTCAGAATGGAATTTCTCTGCCAGTTTAACTGATTTCAACGAAACGAAAACTCAGTACAAAAGAACCTTTCCTCAATATAATTACACCTTCAAATTTTTCTATCTTGTAAGATTTATTTTTAGTTGAATATTTTGACGAAAATTTCTACTGAACTTTAAAAATTTATATCCCTAAAACCAAAGACAAAATCAAACATCGACGTGCAATGTTCAAGAACAATAATAGATCTCTTAGAAAAAATGGTAGAAGGGGTTTATAGGGGTAGAACTGATGTACATATGATCCTTGACTGATGTCAGGAATTTCATAACAATCGACCAAAATTAAAAGCACTTACACCTGCACCTCAGAATTTGTTTTCAAAAAGTTGAGGAGTAGCAGCCAGCCGTGTGTTGTGGTGGGTCTGCTTTAATGGGGTCTCACCAGTAAAGGTCATTTGGCCACATCTCCACACTATTATTTTTGTTTTCATTGATTACGCTGCAATAGTTTTCTCTTCAGCTGTAAAATCTACTCTGAAGTTTATGCATAACAACCTTACGTAATTCCCCAGTAAGAAGATGGAATTGTTGGCCACGGAAAGTCCCCAGTTTCGGGCGTGTACTATTGGCACCACCGCCAAGCCACCCTGCGCCACGGCCCACGCCACGCCGCGCCAGCTTGTTCTCGAATGTTCCCACATTGGTATTTTCATAAAACATTTGTTTATTTCACAATGCGTTATTGATTTTCCTAAAAGTATATTATTACTATAATTAGCAACATATAATAGTTAGGTTCACAGAGTTCGATACAGATCTGAACTCTAAAAATCCTACAAATAAAAATCACCACTTAACACTAAACTGTATCATAAGAACATAAGAAAATAAGGAGTCTGAAATAGGCATGGCAGCTCCTGTCGAGAGTTACTACCACTCTCTATCATCCATGAATCTATCTAGCCTCCTTTTGAAACTTTCCAGAGTTCCAGCACTTACTACAAAGTTGCTAAGCTTGTTCCACTCGTCCACCACCCTATTTGTGAACCAGTTTCTTCCCGGGCATTAGGAACCTTGAGTATAGAGACAGGTTAAAGCTTCTTAATTTGAACTCCCTTGAGAGACGGAGAGCGAGGGGCGACCTGATAGAGGTGTATAAGTGGAAGGCAGGGCTAAACAAAGGGGACATTACAAAGGTACTCATACTATCCAACCAGGAGCGAACTCGTAAC